GTGTTGACTTCTCCAGCCAAGTTTGTATGGGGTCTACACATGGGCGTTAAAGCTAACGTGTGGCACAGTTTAAAGGACAACAGACGGCTCAACCACCCCACCCCCCCGGTCGCTAGTGCAGCACAGTGTGTTAAAGTCGTATTTATGATGACAAAATAAAGACACTTATTTTCTATACTTTATGTTCTAGGTAGACTTGATATTTGTTAGTGTAACTCAGAATGATCACTCAGTACTCTGTCCACACTAACATTTGAAGTTCCAGGTTGTCTGGAATAAACCAGGATGATAAAAGTCATTGGGTAACTTCCAGGCGTTAGTTTACTCAAAATGATTACACAGTTTTCTACCCACACTTGAAAGGAAGGAAGTGAATGGGGTAACAGACACTACAGGACAAGTTGTAAAAATAATTCTAAAATTGCCTACGAGAAAGTTCAGGAAGGCTGAAAGTACCATGCTTCTTGACTCTAATGTACTCTATACCAGACTACAGCTTTGAAGCACGTTGAGAACCAGAGACATAAATCTGCTATCAAACGTTCTTGAAGATGGTAAACTATCCTACTATGGACACAAGGGGCAGAAAAATCAGTTGGCCCTTTCCATTCCGTTAGCATTCAAACATTGACTTAAAATATTAAGTTTATCAATAACAAAGGTAAGTAATTCATTCAACAGAAAAAGGGACGCAACTCAATTCATAATGTTAATAAAGGTGAATTTTTAATCAATAATTCTTTCATTTTCATAGGGATTTTTTTGGGCATCTTCAATATTTTTTATTTATAAAAAGGGCAAATAAAAAAGGTGAGAGCTATGTTTACCTCCCTATGTCATTGACACGATTATTGTAATTTTCTATATTTTTTTATTGACACAATTACTGTAATGTTTCTATATTTTTAATAACACAATTATTGCAAAGACTGTCATGAGGGCTGAGTGCTGACTCCAATACGCTTCCGCTTCCTGTGGTTAGCTATCATAACCGATGTTGACAACTTCTCAGATTCCCTGTTTTCCCATTTCTGAAAATCGTGCAGCCCTTGCTGTCCAGCGGCAAACAGCTGCCGTTCTTGCTCATCTAGCATGCTAACTTGACCTGTCAGGTCGGTGTGTAGTGCATTCTGGGAACCATCCATTATACGTCGAAATCTACCTTGGAAAGTCTGGGAATAAAAAGCAACACAATAATCAATAATATCAATTTTATCAATGGTTGACACCATAGAACCCTGGCCTTTTTTCCTTCGGGCTTCAACTTTAATATAGATTTATTTTACTTTCTTCAAATAATGATACATTCTAGACTCTCCAGGTAGCATTTCTACTATGCAAAAAAATATACATTTCACAAATAGCCATTCAAATGTTTTTATTATATTTTCTTTTCTCCTTCAAATAAAGCTAAAACAGTATTTAAATAGTTCGTCATTTCTGAAATTGCATAAATGGGTTTTACAGCTTTTTGGTAATGTGTTGGTTTTTTTTAACATGCAGACAACGCCTAAGTCTAAAAAGCCAACCCACACGTTAATGTTTAGTATGGAAGCTACCAGTGTTTGGCTTTAATTGATAAATTGCATCAAACTGAATTTCGCTACACAACTTAGCAATTAATATCAGTGTATAAATCATTTATATCAGTATGTTTTATAACATAACTTGTAATAATGTTTTCATCGAAAATCGAGTCTCAAAGTATTACAAAACACTCCGCAATACAAAATTAGAGTCAGACTAAATGATATTGATAAGGTCTATTCTGAGAGCTTAACACTTTCATGTACAGCCTCTTGATACAATCTTGTATTATCAGCCTCTTGTTTTATTAGCAAGAATCTTACACTTTGCCACTAGAATACAAAGCGATGTGTTTCAAGAATTATGTAAAATAAGTTGCACAATGGTGGTCAGCACAACAAAAACACATGATGTTTTATCATAAATTATTTTTGGAACAAACAAAAATAAAAGCCTAGAATTCGATGCTTGACTGTGACAAAAAAAAAGTGTTTTTTTTATATATTGTAAAAATAAAATGAAATATCTACCTTCAATAAAATACTGGCTATATCGTCAGCATCAGGGAGCTGAAATGAGATTAGTTTTCCGCCAAATAAATAAAAAAATGGTCCAAGTCTATGAAGATCTACCACATTGGGGTCTGCCTTTAGTATATGCCTGTAGCCTTCTCTGTAGCTTTTTGGTGTTTCTAAGCTGACTATACTCCGAGTACCCCTGTATAAATAACGTGCTAGCCAGAAGGGCAGTTCTAGCTTAGTCCCAACACTTATGTCAACATTTGTTGTGCTCTGATCAAGGTAGCCTGAAAAAAAAAAAGACAAATTTAGAAATTAAGGTTAAAAAATACTACCTTAAGTTTATGGGCTTCCGTTTTATGTGGATAATGATAAAAAGGAGGTTCATGTTTTTATCCGTTATGATGCACTCTTCGAATGCTCAAGAAAGCAAAGTTATCTTTTATTGCACACATACACACAATATTCGGCCTCCAAGCGTGCATCGTATCAGCGCATAAGTAATGTAAGTGGAACCCCCTTTGCAGGATAGTAGCCCAGTTGTATCAGTTTAGTGTCCCGAATAAGTTCAGGTCTGTTACTCTGTTGTCTAGGGTATGACTTTCACACTGTACACAAAATACACAAAGACTTACGCAAGAGTTTTTCCAGTTAGTAATTATAAACTTTTCTTTCACTACTCTCTATTCTAACAAGTTCTCCCATTAGTAATCTGGGTTTCGCTAAAAAGCTCAGCCAAAGAACCACACATACCAAAGAACCACACATACCAAAGGGCTCTCTGACAACACTCCTAACATAAACTGACCATAACACTGATATGGTCAGTGTCCTACCCACTCACTCTCCCCTGCTCTACTGACCACCTGCTCACACTACCGTACTACCCCCCTTTGCCTTCAGTATCCCTCTGCCTGGCACAAAACAGACTCTCAGGGATTCTTACACCTTGACATTTAGCTGCTAAATATTTCAGCACTATCTGTAAGCCATCATAATAATATAATTTATTTATGGACCTAATAAAGTTTATTTATAAGTTTTATAAGTAAGAAAGGTACCCTTATTGTGGCTTGTAACCAAGCTATACAACAGGCCTAGACAATGTAACATTTTTAAATGTTTAGTCACTTAGCCTAGTAAAGTGAAACCTGGAAATAATTAACATTGTAAAGATATAGCCTTGTCCATGCCATATGCATTAGCTCAGAGGCTATTAAAATTTTTGCAGAACTGCACCCCCACCCCCTCTTGATTTCAAAAACACTTCCTGCAACCCATCTTGATCTCAAAATATATTTCCCATATTCTCCATTATAATTATAAGAAATCCTAATAAAAATGCAAAAAACCTGAGTCTTTCCCACACTGTCACACCGCTTAGACACTTTGGTTAAAATTTCAATAATAAGTTAAAAATATACAGTTACTGAAGCTGTTAAGCGCCTAGTAAATGGTTTACAAAAACATGAAGATCAACTTTCTAGCTCAAGTGGGTCAAAAATGTTGAATTTTTTACTAAGGACATAATAATCACTTTTTTACTTTTGAAATTTCCTCGACATTTCGTAAGCCGTTTTTATTTTTATTTTAGGCAAATAACTAATAGAAAATTAGGTAAAATTATAATATTTACAGGGAATATAGTTAGATATGAGCATTACAAAAAACAAGACACAAAATATAAATTTAGTTACTGTCAATATTCCTCAAATTTCTTTTTATATATCTATAATTTTCTTTATTAACAATTTTTTTAATATGCTGACTTGACACTCATTTTTATTTAATTAATTAATTGGTTTTCATGTCCCACAATAATAATATTTCAGATATAAATTTCTATAACAATGTGACATTTTATTTTTTTATCATTACCGGTACAAATAAAACTTGACATTTACAGTGATGTTAAACTTTTTGTTGTGATAGATTTATTCTGGATTAAGTTGGCACTTTTATAAATATAATAGGTTTAATAGTTGACTGTGCTTTAGTTTAAATATTAATTAGTTTTTAATTTTAATACAACTATTTAGTTGGAAAGTTCGAAATTCTTGGTTGGGGGGGGGGGGGGGGGGTGCTTTAGAATTATGACATATTTTGAAAGGGGAGAGGGATACAAAATTACCAAAATATAGTGTGACATACTTTATTGATGACCAGGGGGGGGGGGGGGGGGGGGGCTTTAGAATTATGACATATTTTGACAGGGGAGAGGGATACAAAATTACCAAAATATAGTGTGACATACTTTATTGATGACCCATAATAAGTCTAACATATAATATGTTGTGGTGGGTCTTTATATACTTATTATTTGTAAGACTGTAAGTGTAAAGCAGTGTAGTAAAGGCTATTCTGCTATATTCCCACTCACCAACAAAAAAGGCTAAATTCGTTTAAATCTAAATAAAGGCATAAAAATCATATTTAAAAAATATATTTGTGTTATTAAATTGCCTGTTTTTTAAAAAAGTTATTATTGAATACTTTCCAGTATGTATAAAAAAAATTCACCACATAAAAAAATGTTAATTTTATGGATAATACCTATTTTTGGGACACATGACAAAAGTTTGTCACTTACTTTCTGACCAAACTCTGGACCTAACCAAACAAATTTTTTTTATATGTTGTAATGTACGCAATTATTTCTGAATATCTTTTCTTGTAAGTAAAAAAATATGACTCAGTAAAGTTCGCATTATTTCACCTTCAATATTCAAAGTTGAAACCTTAAATTCTATTTTTGAACAATTTGTCTAATGAGAAAAACAGATATCTACTCTAAGATACAAAGCAGAAAAAGAATGTGCATGGTGTACTATAGCCTATAATCAGCAAAAAAATCCTAAACAATGATATTTTAGGTCACCCTTTTGATAACGTAATTATGATACCCAATTTTCGATGTTTCTAAAGTTCCTACACTGACACTGCCTCTTGCTCCCAAGCCCAAGGGAATGCAGGCACCCCTGATTAACAATCCCTACGCTAACTCAACCTGAAATGCAATAGTTTCTTAGTACTGGCTGAATCTAAAAATAACACCCTGCAAACAAACAGCACCACTTTTAACGTTTTCTTCAGTCTCATCACAAGACTCAAAGATTTGCGTTATTTCCAAGTTTCACTGCACTAGTATTTGTGACTAGTCAGTCCTATTGGGTGTAAGTGTAATCTTTGTCACTTTCACTTCAATTTTTAGACTGTGCAGTGACAAGTGTCAGTGTGCTTATAACTTTATCACTTATGGCTTATACTTATGAAATGTCAACTTATGACTCGCTTGCTTGTTATTGTTACTGTTACTTTACTTATCACAAGTCTTGATAAGTCATAAAAAAAAATCAGATTCAGATCATTTAAAACAGGGGTCTCAAACTCGTGGCCCGTGGGCCATTTCCTGCTGCAAGACGATATTTTGCAGCCCGGCCCGCGACATGAAAGCAAATTTAGTGTTAATGCGGCCTGCGCAGTTTCCCCATTCTGACGGTTTCGGTCGAACCTCACCAATACTGACTTTCATTATTTTTGTACAGATTTAGATGTTGATTATAATGGCAAAAAACATTTTAAAATCGGACTAAAAGTTCTTATTTTAATTTGTAGCATTTTATGAGACAAACATTGGCAAAGTGCGGTTTGAGAAAACACGCTTCTTTGAATATTATATATACAAATTTAAAAAGTCAGTTAGTGGGTAATGTGCAACCATAATTGTGTAAATCATAGCAATCTGACAAGTATCAAAGAATCCCTATTAAAATTGCAGCTTATGTTTACAAGTGAGGAAAATTCCGAACCTGTCAGCTTGGTCACGTGGCCTGTCAGGTCTCTGGCAACAAGCAGTTTTTATTTGTTATTACAAAAGGTTGAGCAGACTGTAACATTTTTACTTTATTGAATTTGTAATCGCTTTTTTGTGGAATACTTGAGATGTGGCCCAGTCTCACTCAGTTGACTCAGACTCTGCCTCCCGCGCCCTCGGATGATTGAGACCCCTGATTTAAAATATCAACCAACAAATTTTCTTTTAAATCCATACCCATCGCAGCTACATCAACATTAAAGCTGCATGGTATCTTCTCTTGACTTGCTAGAATGTCGTCAATATTGAAATAACTATTTACTGATTCTCCAGCAGTCGAAAATGCCGCCATGTTTTTGTTATTACTTTAAATTTCAGATAGCCCAGGGCTACCAGACCTTGGGAAATTACCCAAGAACTTAGGGAATACACATCCCATCTGGGATCTGGGGAATAATTTTGAAAAATTAACGCGAAACTTTGGGAAATTTTAACTAGAGTGAAACTCTTTTTTTTTTCGTTTAATAAATCATGAAAGAAACGATAAAATGTGAAAAAAAGGGGAACATATTTTTTTAATTATTTTTTTTAAAAAAGGAAAATATAAGGGGGATGGTTGGGGGGGGGGGGGGTGGTCTTTTGGTGGATTGTCGGCTGAGTTTTAGGGGGGGGTGGGCGGTCGATCGAAAGTACGCACATTTATTTAAAATGTATATAATAATCATCCTGAAATTCTGACTTGCTATTTCAAATTTTATAGAGGTCGATCGAAAGTACGCACATTTATTTAAAATGTATATAATAATCATCATGAAATTCTGACTTGCTATTTCAAATTTTATCTAAAAGTAACATCGAACTTAAATATGTACCAAAATGCATCCATGCATTTTGAATTTGCACAACAGTCTTCGGCACCTCAATTTCTACACCCCACCCTTCCCTCACGCTAATCAATATTACAGAATGGGGTTGAATATAGGCTGGTGCAAAATGATTATCCTGGGGCATGCAAAAAATGGAGTGAAGTCCACTCCAAAATGCACCTCTTGAATTTCAGGGGACTGGGCTCCAGGACCCCACTTTTGCTCAAAATTCATCGGCGCGCTCGATTGATGCCCTACTTCCCCATAAAAATATATCGCCGATCTTGGTGCCTATAGATACACTGCCTAGAGACCGCTAGCGTCAGTGCACCGTGGGTGGCCCAATATTTATGCCACACTTCCTTTTACGATACAAACTCTGCAGTTGGCCAAAAATGCCGCTCCTCCATAAAAAGAAAAAGTGACATCTGGGTGGAACACACCATCTATATACCCCCTGCTACATCATTGGCAGAAGCATGAGTGTTTGGCGCCAGGGGACAGGATTAATTTTACGCCCTCCCTCTCAACTATGAAACCCATTCTTTTCATCCATTAAATACCACAAAAGCCCGTTTTGGCACCCACGCTAGTCCAGCAACGGGGGACATCCTAATCTGACATGCCCCCCCCCCCAGGAGGATATTGTCTGAAAGAAATATTGGTGGTAACCTTTGTTCAACCTCTCACTGAATCATTTTGTCATCATTGGCCAAAGAAAGAATACCCCAGACATGCACCCTGTGGATAATAGTTGGTTTTGCAGCAAACATTGAAGATATAATTTAAGCTTGAATTGAAAAGAAACCCTCCCTCTCAACTATGAAACCCATTCTTTTCACCCATTAAAGACCACAAAAGCCCGTTTTGGCACCCACGCTAGGCCAGCAACGGGGGACATCCTAATCTGACATGCCCCCCCCCCCCCAGGAGGATATTGTCTGAAAGAAATATTGGTGGTAACCTTTGTTCAACCTCTCACTGAATCATTTTGTCATCATTGGCCAAAGAAAGAATACCCCAGACATGCACTCTGTGGATAATAGTTAGTTTTGCAGCAAACATTGAAGATATAATTTAAGCTTGAATTGAAAAGAAAGACTCATTGATCTATTTATCATCCGACGACAATCTTAAAGCTAAATTTCATTCATCCTTATCAGGACCACCAACCCCCTCCTTTTTTGTTCTTTGTTGGCCCTTAATGGAAAAGCGATTACCCATTGCTGATTGAAAAGCAATGAAAATCTTGATTCGATTTTCAACAACATATTTGCGCGAAAAGATATTTTATCTGTCAGATCAATTCAAACTCGATACCGGTCCCAGCTTAAAAATACGGTTCTGTCTTGTAGTGAAGTCACTTGGGCCAAAAAATCCATAAACTTCTTTCAAACAAGCAGGAACAAATACCAGACGAATAAAAAGGTGTAATACTTAATAAACTTCGATTATTCAAAAATAATTTAACAGTGTTATTGAATTTCGTTATTACTTAACAACATTTATAATTTTTAAAAATAAATATGTGTAAAATGGAAGTACTCTGATCAATATTTTGCAAATGTATTTATCTTTTAAAAAAAAGAATCATTTAGAGGTCCGCGGGATTTAAAATGATTAATTAGTGGTCCTGGAGTTCTGAAAGGTTGACGACCGTTGCTCTCATATTAAAATCTAGGGAAATCTTGGGAAATGTTTTTTATCAATCTTGGGAAATTTGAAATAAGTGAGTGGTAGCCTAAAAACAAACATGCTGTTGTTGTGAAAATGTTAAAATATTCAAAAAGAACCATAATATACTATGGCTTATGGCTACTATGCACTTATAATTTAATTCACCTAAATTTGATATCAACCAATAGTTTATGAAGTTAACAAAACATCAGAGTATGATTACTAAAGAACTTTTTCTGGAGTTAAAGCTAGATCTAACGTTAATTCAAAATCGTTTTGCTAAAGAGCACTTCTGAGTTCTGCCTTCTTAATTTGAACAACTAAAAAAAAAATTACTAAACAATCTTCAAATACGACTTCAATGAACTTCAATGTCAACAATTGATTTTGAACAGTTGATGCCAATGCTAAATAAATAATAAATTGAAAATATTTGAATAAAAAATAAAATCAATCAGTATAGTAATAGATGAATAATGAATTAATTTGAGTGATAAATAATGTTAATAATATTGACATTGATTTTTTTGTTAATTTAAGTTCCAGATGATAAAATAATTTTAAAAAATGACATGTTTTATTATTATTAATTTTAATTAAAAAGAATCTAACTATTCCTTACAGTTTTAGACATTTTTCAACTCAGTCTTCAGTCTCACTTCTGATAGTTGATTAATGACAGTGTTATCAGTGACAGTGATAAAAACAGTTTTATTGAACACAACGGATCAGATCACTGACCAGCATCACTTTCACTTTAGTTTAGTGTAGTTTCATTTGTAAATATGTAGTATTAACATTTAACAAGTATTGATTGCATCATTATTGATAATTAGATGCTTTCATTTCCATTTTTTGTTTTAAGTACAAAAAACAATGAAACTAAATTTTAATGCATCTAATCTATTCTTGTGACTCATGAGATCTTGAAATGGACAATTTACATCAACATCACATTAATTACCATATGCCGCATTTTATCCCATAGTTGCCTATAGTAAATAGGCATAGGAACTTAGTAACAATAGGCCAGTGTTTTTCTGTTCTATTATTAAGAAGCATCAAATACTGCTCCTTAATGAATCATCTTTGGTTTTAACTTAATAACTTAATTTTTAAAAAAATTTAAAGTCATATCTTGTCTAGCTTTATTTTTCCTAATTTAAGTTTTCTTCAATTTAATTGGATACTAGACTTTAAAAAGGTACAATAACAAGGTGATTTGTTTAAGTAATAATATGTTTTTGTTATCAAGACATTTAATGTCACACATGATAAAGGACAAATATTCTGGCCTACATAGGTCAGTGAAATTGTCAAAATTTAATACAACTTTCAAGCCAGTAAAGGAGCAGAAGTTGAACATTTCAAACAGATCAAAATTTGTGGTAAGTTTATTTTGTTTTGAAATAACTCTTAGAAATTATTTTTCAAATAATTTAGGCTGCATTTTGCAATTGGCGGCAACACTTTTTATGTGTAGCATGTTATCCTCCGCTCTTAGCAATAGGCACCTTTGCTGGTTATGCCATGTAAGGAGAATAGAGAAAGGCTCTATTCCAAAGGATCTGCTTTATGGAGAGTTGCTACAGCTGGAAAGACTTATTTAATGGCCATTGCTGCAATTTAAGGACCTTTGTAAAAGGAACATAAAGGAAGTCAACATTGAAATCAACAGATTGGACATCATCACTGAACACCATTGCAGCTGGTGAACAGCAGTATACGAAGGAGTCAACCAGGCAGAAGATGCATGAAACAAAGCCCTTGAAACAAAAAGAGCAGTCAAAAGGCCAAATTTAACCAGGAGCCAAGGTTCTCCTGCCAAAAGTGCAGCCAAGACTGCCATTCCAGGATCAGCCTCATAAGCCATTTGAGGTCGTCCTTATGGTCTTACGATTAAATCTAAATTATTTTAATGACTAAAAATATTCCAAACAATATCATATGTTTACTCAGAATGACCTAGTGTGACCGTATACTACTAAAGTTGAATCAATTTAAAGATGCTCGGAGTCTTAAAAACAATGATGCAGATTTTCTATTATCAATATTTTACAAAATTCGAAGCAATTTAAAAATGATAAAATGTATCTGCTTTTATGCAAGTGTAAGTCTAATCTTTTATATGTAAGTATTTTTATTTTAAATTATAAATACATTTAATATAATTGTTATAGAGAGCTTGTTTACATCATATTTCTCGTGCGTGCCCTCTGATTGACCCCGCATGAGACGCTGTGTTCACAAAGGGGTGTGGCTTAGGCCTTTGAAGTATCTTGTTTACAATCTGCTTCCAATTACGCCTTGGGTATAATGTCATCGGGTAATTTCTGGAATATACTCCTTAACCCGAGATATGTAAACAACACGTCATAAGCCCTTCTGGAAGTTTCTTACTCTACATATATATAAGGGATTGACAGGCACGACGAGAGAGAGACTGAGATTTTCTTATAGATTCTCTTAACATTACGAGGCGTGTTTTATTCTTTGTGTATTTGTGTGCTCCTACTTATATGTGTTTATTTCGCATTATTTATTGGCATCATTATTTCTAATTGTATTAACTGTGTACCGGTACGACATCTGCCATACTGTAAGTTGAAGATTGTAATTTTATTTTATTTTATTTTGTAATTATCTTAAGACATAATAAATCTTAATTAATTGTAACTAGAAACTGTTTTGGGTCGTATCCTTAATATTGTTGATTATATGGTATCATCCTTTGTTAGGCACTGTTTACAACGAGCCAATTAAAATTAAAATAGGAGATTAATTTCTCCCAATACAAGTCAGTGCGTAACAATAATAATTGAAGAATTGTTTTATCTGAATGTGAGAGTAAGTTAATTTATCATATAGAAATGAGATTAGGCATTCTTTACACTTTTTTTTAATTGCAGTGCAGTGTAACTTTAGTCTTCAGTTAAATCATGAATACCAGAAAATGTCAGAAATAATAATGTTTTTTACTCTATTTTTGTAAGAAATAAATATAATTTTTTGCTTTTTAAATTGTTCACTAATGTTTTAAAACACCACCAAACTAAAGCTTTGTATCTTTAACATTTAATAAGTTTTATTTATATTTCACACAAAAAATTTGCATTCATTGCATCTATAAAGGGAAAAAAATAGGAACTTGACATTTAAATTATGTTTAAAAGCCATAAAAAATGAAAATCCTACGAAGTTGCAATTATTTCATTTTAAAGTTAATATCTCCATTCCCAATTAAGTTATAGATTTGAACTGTGTTATAGATTTTAATGCAAATATATTTTTTAAATTTACACAAATTTATGTTGAACTATTTTTTAAAGAAAAAGATCACGCTGTGTGATAAAGGGGAGTGCGAGTGGGGCGTTAAAATATTAGTATAGTTCAGCGGTGCGCAGAGGCGAGGAAAATTGGGAAGAGGTTAATTTCAATTATACTATCACCAAGACCAAAATGTTACAGATTTGAACTTTCGTAATTTCGATTTAATTTTAAAAATAAATAACCATAATCTTTAGATCTAAATATACAGAATTAGCTGTTGGGCATATTGTTTTTTTGTTACAGAAAATTCAGTTCAATGCATGGTAAAAGGGGTGGGGGTGGGACATAACAATATTTATATAGTTCATTAGCGTGCAAAATGTGTGGGATGGTGTACATAGTGGGTTATCATCCCCGTGTTTCTTTTATTAATGTTATTAAAAAAATTCTAAAATATTTGTGCAGGGAAGGGGAGGCTGCAAATTTTTAAAATTTTGCCCCAGGCATCACAAGCAGCGATTTGTAAATTTATTTTGCCCCATGCAGCACAAAGCATGTCTCAGAATGAGTGGGTGCGTTTGATAAATAATTTATCATTTAAACTTCTAAGGAAAAAAAAATTCAGGGGAGGAAATAGTGTATGTATGTTAATATTACATATATTTAAACTGGTAAATTTTTTTTTTAAATTGAAGGACATAAATGTTCTTACAGTTTTTTTGTTTTTTTTATTAAATATTAAAATATTATCATATTATATAATTAATATATAATATTTAAATCATAATATTAATATTAATGTATAGTACAAATTTAGTGAAAATACAACTAAAAACACAATCGTTTTACCTATGTATAAATTTAATATTTAAATATAGAGCTTTTTTTTTTCATAACTCAAAAATGCAGTTTAGATGCATGAGCAAAGATAAATGAAGATTTTATTTAAAAATAAGAAAATATTACTTTTTTTACTTTGTACAAAATTCAGTCATGGAACATGTTTATAGATTTTCATGAGACTAATAATATTTCTAGAAAAAACTCTAGGATCAAGGTGAAAATCTGTGTTCATTTTTAATTAAGATACTAATATTTCATAATCTGTTATTGGGACGGATATTTAAAATATTACATAGATTTTTTTTTCATTAATTGTTTTTACAGTTTTTAGAAATTTTGTTATCTTTATGTTTCAGTGTTGTTCAGGGGCATGCAAAAGGTTTGGGGAGGCCTTTATTATGAAGAAGATACAAAATTATCAAAAGCAAATGATTTGAGAAATGTAAACATAAATAGATATATACTTCTTTTAAAATGAGGAAAGTCTGATTTACTATTTCCTAATTATACATGTAAAGTATGTGGTAAATTGTCGTAATTTTCTTTTCAGCATGCACTACATTAAACTCATTTTAGTTATATTCATAAAAGCTGGAATTTAAGATGTTGATAATTCGCAACAGCAATTAGAAAGTTGCACAATCTGCCTTCTGTTATTATCCCATTACATCGGGTCATATCGTCTAGTATATATGTATAATTTATATAATTATCTAGGCCCAGCTGCCATATGAAAGGGGGGGGGGGGCAGGGCATGGTCTGACCTTGTTCAGATTTTTTTCTTCTTAATATTTAGGGGCGACATTTTCAACCTGCCGCAGAGTTTGTTTGTGGAAGGGGGCGGAAAATATCTTGAGCCACACCTGCTGGCACTTATTCTTGCTGCACCACTGTATAAGCCTCAAAGTTTCATATATTTACATTTGTTGTTTAATTCTTCAGGTGATATAAACTAATTGTTCTATCCTGTTAGAAAATAAATTGTGCTTGTAATTTTCTTTTAAAAGTTAAGTGCACACATTATTTTGCTGTATAAGCATTTATTATTGCAGGATCTTGGCACATGCCCATAGACAAGCAGTCACTATTATTTAACTACTTGTTCATTTAAAAGTTGAATGCTTGCATCTATTTTTAGTAAGCTAGTTCCTTTTCAGTTCAGTCCATTATCAACTAATAGTGCTTATTCATCTTGAAATCTTTCTAAAATTGTCTTTATGAAGTATGTGAACTGCAGTTTAACTTAAGAATTAAAATAACAAGAGCCTCATAGTTTGATGAACTTGATTTGTTAATTGTTTATGTTCTTGTAGATCTGTCATCATTGTAAATGTTTAACTTTATACTCATATTGAAACTGTCTTTAAGACAGCACATACGTTTAGAGAAAAACAATGTTTTTGAATATCTCTGGTAATTTAAATGTTATTATATATCTAAGGTAATAAAATTTTGTCTAAACAATTATCTGGCATTTCATGTAATGGTTGAATATCTGGCAGTTCATAACCATGTAGTTTCGGCAATTGAAAAGCGATATATCATGCTAATGCTATATTGTTGCAATATCTATAAATTGATATGTTATCACATGACAATATGTTAATCAATATGTTTCTTTTATGCATATTAGGTTTGTGTTGAAGGAAACATTGGCTGTGGGAAGACAACTCTGCTGAACTACTTTAAAACTCATTATAACTTTGAGGTAACCAATTTTCTTTTATGAACTTTTAAAATGCCCAGCAGTTCTTTAAATGAAAGCTTACTTTTTGACATTCATAATACATCCCAATTTAAAAGGTCTTTTAGTGTTTAAGAAATAATTAGAAATATTTATAGTTTTATCACATAAAAGAGAAAATAAAAATACGAGAAAGAGATTGACATAGAGAAGATGATGTTGAGCTAATGACATGTACATAAGATGATGTTGAGCTAATGACATGTACATAAGATGATGTTGAGCTAATGACATGTACATAAGATGATGTTGAGCTAATGACATGTACATACTGTTGAAGTTAGACAGATTTTTGCAAGTGTTTTTTTTTAAAATTGTATTTAAAGGTGCTGGCAGAGCCTGTAGAAAAATGGAGAGATGTTCAAGGATTAAATGCTCTTGTAAGTTTAATTAACTAAACATAGTTATGTTCTTAAACATTTTTGTTCCATGGACTCCTTTGCAGTCGGGTGAAGACCAAGGACTGGCAAAGGAAATGCAGCCCGCAGACACCAAGCTCCACCATGGGCTCAATCTGTGAACAACATGTTGATATTTTATACTTATAGCACACAATATAATGTAGATCAGGAAGAAAATATTTTTTTTTCTTTGCATAGTAACACACTTACACTGCCCTGTCAAATATAATGTGGTGCACATTTAAAAGTTTTTTAAATTTTATGCACCATATGTAATATTTCAATGGGCAGAGCAAAACTTTCAAATTAATTAAAAGATGTAAGTTTAAAAATTAGTCGGTGGCTAGATACTTTTTTTTCCCTATATTTTGAGGGCCTACGATCAATTCATTGAGCATTCTGGCTCCTGGTTTAAATTCAGAGTTTGCCTTCTCTTAGATGAGTTGCCTTCCAAGGCTGATGAATCCCATCGACCCGGGGTGCTTGAGATGTTAGCTTTTGGTGGGGATTGAACTCCAGGCTAGCAGTCTATTTGAATTGAGTCAGTTTAGACAGCTCTGACACTTTTATGTTTTGAAATAAGTGTATGTAACAATAATAAAATAGTTAAAACTGTTCAATGTCAATTTCATAAACAGGACCTTATGTATAAAGATCCCCAAAGATGGGGAATGACATTACAGACTTACATACAGCTTACTATGCTGCAAGCACATATCAAGGCACAGGTTTGGAGTTTGTTTTGTTTTTTTAAACACATGAATTGCATGCTTTATTGTTGGAGTTAAATAATCATTGTAGCAATACCCCTCAATACAGCAATATCCCTCAGTACAGCAATGCCCCACAATCATGAAATGACATTTGTAACATAAATTGAAATAACTTAGGTTGGGGTTGCTGTATGCCCCCACCCCTAAAGCTTTATGATTTTTACACATCATCTCAAACATCACTACTCTCATTTTCTAACAAATTTTAAGCAATAGAAAATAATTGTGTCTCTGTATTAAAATAAAAGCACCCTTGAACTTTGTTTCGTTGACAGACAAATGTAGAGAATTCATCGTCTCAATTCCCAATCACATTGATGGAAAGATCCATCTACAGTGCCAATCACTGCTTTGTTGATAATCTTTACCAGAGGTAAAAAAAACAAAAAACAAAAACCATCATACATTATGTAACCTTATCAGCCTGTAGAATTTTGTGAATTTTTTCAACTGTAACTAAGAGTAATTGACATGCGCTCCCTGGATATTGGCGCTGTCTTGGAATTTGATTAACATGTATTGTCATGAGCCAAAAAAAGAAAAGGCAACACTTCTGGGTTCAAGTGTCAACACAATCATAAATACATTTTTATATAACACGAAACACAATACAAGCTCTTTTGGCATTATAATAATGTTGGTAAGCAAGTTAACACAATTCATGTTCTTATAGTATTGCTGTGTTAAAATAAATCAAGACTTAAAGAACACTACAAATCAATACACAACCAGTTCTTTCAGTATTATTTTCAAATCTCATATCAGACAATTGATGTTCTTATAACATGACCATGAATCTACAGTATAATTAATTAATTGAATTGATGTCATACTGACATACAAAGATCATTCACATTGATGATCATAAAATAATTCCTGTATTTACTCCTGTACAGTTTGCTCTAGTGCAAGGGTGGGCAAACTACACCCCGCTGGCCGTATGTCCGGCAACAGATATTATGCGGCCCTCGGAGGCATTTAGAAATTTTAAAAAATGACTTTGTTTTTAAGTTATTTTGTTGATATTTACAGAATTTCATGAACCATTATGATTGTTTTAACATTTTTTATCAAATTTCTTTCAAATTTTCTATTTTATTCAACAGTCCTTGACTTTTGTCATGTAATACTAAAATGAGAATTTATCGATTTTAATATAGAGAAATCTTTATCGAAATGTAAAAATTGGACATAATATACATATCCCCCCCCCTCCCCCCCCAATAGCTTTACATTTGTCAATGTGGCCCTCCGCACAAAAAGTTTGCCCACCCCCACCACTGCACTAGTGGATAAGTCAAGTCACACCCTTAGTTTGGGGTTGTCAAAGGGGGTAATAGCGGTTGACCCACGGATAGGTCACACTCTTAGTTTGGGAGGTTGCATGTCTCTTTTTACTTTAAATGTAAATGTTTGTTAGACATACACCTCTAAACGATGTTGGGATAACAACTTGAAAACTCAAAAGCAATCTCCTTAAACCAGATGATCTTAAATATAGAACATTTAGAGAAAAAAATGATATAACAGATTGCCCTCTGCTTTGAGCATAAACAAGAGTGCAAGGAGAAAACTATTCTATTCTCTGACTTGTAGTATAAATGAATTCTTCGCACTGAATAACACTAAGCAAAATTGATGGGAAGTGTATAGGTGGCACCCATGATTTTTATCAAATTTGTTGGTTAAAAAGCTGCATCCTAGAGACAAGTACATATGGTAAAATAGACGGCATACATTGGCATTGTATTCCTTTCAGGGGCATCATGCCAGAATTTGAGCACATCATTCTGTCCGAGTGGTTCGACTGGATTGTCAGCACTCAAGGCATCCAGGTGCCGCTGTTTGGTGAGTTTTACCTATAAACATAATAATATGACTAGTTGATTTTGTAACTGTCACATCATATGATCATAATAATATGGCTAGTTGAGTTTGTAACTGTTACATCTTATGATCATAATTAAATGGCTAGTTGAGTTTGTAACTCTCGTATAGGAAGTGCTGTCATTTGGAAGTGCTGTCATTTGGAGGTTCTGTCAGTTGGAGGTGCTATCTGTTGGAGGTGCTGTCTGTTGGAGGTGCTGTCTGTTGGAGGTGCTGTCTGTTGGAGGTGCTGTCAGTTGGAGGTGCTGTCAGTTGGGGCTGCTTTCTTTTGGGGGTGCTGTCAGTTGGGGGTGAGGTCTGTGGTGCTAGGGAATGACACATGAGAAACACTGAAGCCCATTTTGTTATTGTCAAACCATAACTCATAAACCATAACGCATAAACCATACCTCATAAACCATAACTCATAAACCATAACTCATAAACCATAAGTCATCCATAAAGCAACTCCTACCCCAGTCAAAATTAATTTTGAAGGGATTATAAGCTTGAAGTTTAAGCTTCATTTTGACCAGTATGCTCAGAATACATACTCAATGCTTCCAAATGATGACATCATTTTGTATGTGTGGGTGTGTGCAAACAACCAGGCAAAACCAGTTACAAAATCATGTACGCTCAGGACAGTTTGGATGTTAGTATCTGGAAAATGTAAAAACAGGACAAATTGTTTTATTGGGCATGTTGTGACCCACTCTGTCATTCTTTCTAGTATTCAGTGCCACTCTGTCATTCTTTCTAGTATTCAGTGCCACTCTGTCATTGATGCCATTAAACACCTGAGCTTAATTGTTTTTAAAATTGACTATTTGAAGAGCTCTTTTCATCACACTTATTATTGAATACTTTTTTTTATATATTTTAAGAACTAGTGACTGATCGGAAGTTTTGTCTTTCCAACTTTCATCTTGTTGTCTCATCCACATTGAGGAATCCTTTAATTACTTTACCTTTTTTTGTGTTCTGTAGACATTTTCTATAAGACATTCAGACCCTTTGAAAACTGTTTATGAACATAATTTTTCAAAATTTCAGTCTACATCAGAACCGACCCCGAAGTAGTTTATGAAAGAATTAAAGAGAGATGCAGAAGTGAAGAGCAGAGCATCGAATTGGTAAAAGAGTCTTAAGACTTTCATTGATATTTAAGTTTACTACCCCAAAAAAAATAAATAAATAGAATTCTTGATGAATTTTCACTTAAAATAATTATTCATTTTAACTTTTAATGAGTGCGTGGTGAGAATAAAGTTTTCTCAAATGGAGTTCATCAAGAAAAAATGTTAGAACATTAGAGCCCACAAAAAAAAAAAGCAAAGATTGTCTGCATATTAACCTTTTTACCACTCAGCATCACAGATAGTTTAACTGGTATGTTTGAGATGACAGGATGATCAAATGTCTTCAGATAGAGATTTACAACACATGGGCACAAAAACAAGGCTTTTTTCCTCCCCTTCTTCTTTAACTCATTAGTGGTCTAAATTTTTGCTTCCGGGGAATCTTACCTGTATCATTCTTTTTCCCTCAGGATTACCTGAGGACTATCCACCAGCTGCATGAGGATTGGCTTATTAAAAATAAAAAGTATTCAAGTCAGGATGTTTTGGTAAGGACTATGTAGAATAAGTCCTACCCACAACTGATATATAGACCTAATCTATAGTAGTTGTTGACATAAGTCCTACCCACAACTGATATATAGACCTAATCTATAGTAGTTGTTGACATAAGTCCTACCCACAACTGATATGTAGGCCTATCTATAGTAGTATTTAATATAATATAGATATTATATTAAAATCTACCCACAACAGATATGTATCTTTAATGGTTGTTGATATAAGGATTACCAGAATATTGTTGTTAAAACCACACGTCCATAAATGCACATATAAACTAAAAAAAAACATGCTGTCACAACTCAACAAAGAGCAAGCCAAGAAAACACTCATGGTGATGCTACTTCCAACGAGTGCTTATCTGTAAGTGGTGGAGTAAAAGTGGGGATGGATGTGAGACAAAATGGAGTAAATAATGCATGAACATGGCATGAACACTGCCCGAGTCGCCATTTTGGGCACCGACTTTGTGTGCTGTTTGGGCATCATGTGATAGTCTCGTTCATAATTGTCCATGAAAAATGCCGTACAGTGCTAAAAATGTGCACGCGTTCTGAAACATAGCTCTCAAACAAAAACAAAATGTATTAAAAATGTATGGTCATATTCTGATTAGCTAGTATCCTAGGTTATTTTTAACCTGAGGTTCCAATGTGTGTGTGTGTATATATATATGTGTGTTATTTTTATATATAAGTATATAATATATATATATATATATACATATATATATATACATTTCTTATATCATCACCCATTCCACATCATATTTATTAATTAGTTAACTACCGGTATTAAAAATGTTATTTGACCCAGTTATGAGATTGTAAATTTAAACCATAGATGACATACAGCTGTGCATGTTCTGAAGACATTTCATGACATGTTTCAGGTGGTTGATGGCAACAGATCTCTGGAGGAAATGCCTGTGATAATGGATCAGCTTAAAGACAGAATTTTCTGCCACCCTAAGTTTATGAGTTTCTTTCTTGAGTAACTTCCTGAAATCGAGGAAGCTGCTGCCTTGGAATGTAACAGTGTTTCACTGCTGCCTTGGAATGTAACAGTGTTCCACTGCTGCCTTGGAAGGTAACAATGTTTCAGTGCTGCCTTGGAATGTAACGGTGACAATGTTTTTCTGCTGTGATATTCAATGGACAATAATTTTTGGGCTAGTATATTATCACAATAAGACAGTGTCTTTAAAATAAATTATCTTTAATTTTTGTGTTAGCAATCAGAAATCACTTGAATATCGTGTAATAATAACAATAAGCCAGCAATGCTCTAAAATAAAAATATTTTTTTAAATCACTTTATTTTTTCGATCACAATTTCCTTTTGTGCAATAATCGGCCTACGATATAATGACCAATGAAACTTTTAATTGTGATACTTTTTGTCAGCATTGAAAGCACTGACTAAAAAAAACTGACAGGCTTAAATGGAAAGAACCAATGTGAAATGAGTCTGATTAAGAAGCCTAGTGGACCCCGTGGTGGTACACTTTCTAGTGGACCTGATGGTTTACTATGCCAATAAACAATGTAAGTTGAAGATTGGCTTAGATCACAATTACCCTTAGTGGTAGAACAAGTCATAAGTGATGGTGGTGTCAGTTGGAGGTGCTGTTCTGATGCATGAATCTCGTACCAGAATGATATGCCCCTTTACCCACCCATCACCTAAGCCCCCCCTACCACATCCAACACCTAAGCCCCTCTACTCCATCCATCACTTAAGCCTCTACCCCACCCATCACATAAGCCCCTATACCCCACCCATCACCTAAGCCCCTCTACCCCATCCATCACATAAGCCCCTCTACCCCACCCAGCACCTAAGCTCCTCTACTCCACCCATCACATAAGCCCCTCTACCCCACCCAGCACCTAAGCCCCTCTACCCCACCCATCACATAAGCCCCTCTACTCCCCCCCTCCCTTAACCCTCTACCCCACCCATNCCATCATCTAAGCCCCTCTACTCCACCCATCACATAAGCCCCTCTACCCCACCCATCACATAAGCCCCTCCATTCCACCCATCACTTAAGCCTCTACCCCACCCATCACCCAAGCCACTCTACCACACCCATCACCTAAGCCCCTCTACTCCACCCACCACCTAAGCCCCTCTAACCCACCCCCCACCTAAGCCCCTCTACCACACCCTCCATCTAAGCAACTCTAACACACCCCCCACCAAAGCCCCTCTACCACATCCCACACCTAAGCCAGTTGCCCAAAGCCTTTTTTTTTCATTTGGACGTGTAGAATATATGAGATGTTCAAGATTTAAAAAAAAAAAAAACAGGTTGCTCTCCCCTGCTATCTCTGGTTTATTTATTCCAGGAAGTTGTGAGATTATCGGGGATTTGACTACTGAAAAACATTCCTGGAGTCAAAAAAAAGAGAATGCATTTTTAAAAATTATTTGTCAAACAGTAACACACACATATTTAAATACACTCTATTCTTTTATTTGTAACACACACATGTGTAATAAACTCTGTTTTTTATTTGTAACTTGCACTTTTGTAATAAACTCTGTTGTGTTATATGTAACACTTATGTGTAATAAAATCTATTATATGTAACACTGATGTGTAATAAACTGTTAAATGTAGCACAAATGTGTAATAAACTCTCGTTAGTTATATGTAATGTAAGACACATTTGTTTAATGAACTGCTTAATGTGTGCTTTATTCAAGGTCGATGTATATATCTGTTTATAAATAAACATTTTGTTGGCAAAGATGCTGTGGTGAACACATTTTTTCATCTTAAATATTTTTTTTTTCCTTCTTTCTTTTCTACACGCACAAACATATAGAGATAGCTAGCTTAGCTTAGTCTGATCAAATCTATTTCACTTCTAGTGATGACTAAACAAAACCTGCCCATTTTACTCCATCTCCATATTCTCATTAGCTTCTAGAGGTACACAGTCCATTAAACAAGTCTTTCATTTCGGATCAGTTATTTCCTGCTTTTTCCACCGCTAGCTGTTTCTCTAACGCTCTCGGCGAGCTACTTTCTACATAAGCCCTAATGACTCCATGTGTTACTTGGTCTTCCTATTGCCTTAATGACTCCATTGTTACTTGGCCTTCCTATTGCCCTTATGACTCCATGTGTTATTTGGTCTTCCTATTGACTTAATGACTCCATTGTTACTTTGCCTTCCTATTGCCCTTATGACTCCATGTGTTATTTGGTCTTCCTATAGCCCTAATGACTCCATATGCTACTTGGTCTTCCTATTGCCCTTATGACTCAATGTGTTATTTGGTCTTCCTATTGCCATAATGACTCCATGTGTTTCTTGGTCTGCCAATTGCCCTAATGACTCCATATGTTACTTGATCTTCTTATAGCCCTAATGACTCTTTGTGTTACTTGGTCTTCCTATTGCCCTAATGACTTCATGTGTTACTTGGTCTTCCTATTGTCCTAATGACTCCATGTGTTACTTGGTCTGCCTATTGCCCTAATGACTCCATATGTTACTTGATCTTCTTATAGCCCTAATGACTTCATGTGTTACTTGGTCTTCCTATTGTCCTAATGACCCCATGTGTTACTTGGTCTTCCTATTGTCCTAATGACTCCATGTGTTACTTGGTCTGCCTATTGCCCTAATGACTCCATATGTTACTTGATCTTCTTATAGCCCTAATGACTCTTTGTGTTACTTGGTTTTCCTATGGCCCTTATGACTCTATGTGACTTGTCACTCACTTTGTAGTAACATTCTCTTGATGCTTTTACCACAGAATCTCTGCGCGCCCCTCCCCCTGTAAAACAAAAGATCAGCTCATTTATTGGACTGTTTTCTGTGCCCCCTGTGAGCTGACGACACGCTCCAGGAGTCCAACACTCATCGCACTCGTTGAATCGGTCAGCAGGGCCAGCTCCCATTGCCACACCATAGAATCGAATACAACTGTGGACAGACGGAAATGGTTTGAATTGTTGTGGTTGACACTCGGAACCTGGAGACTCTGTGAGAAACCAGACCACACGTGAGACGTGGACTGTAAGACGGTTCGGCCGGTCTAGTGGCCGTAAATCAGTGGTTCTCAACCTTCCTGATGCCGCGACCCTTTCAATACAGTTCCTCCTGTTGTGGTGACCCCCCCCCCCCCAACCATAAAATTATTTTCGTTGCCCCGTCTTAAATATTTGTTTTCCGATGGTCTTAGGCAACCCCTGCGTAAGGGTCGTTCGACCCTCAAAGGGGTACCCACTCCACAGGTTGAGGACGGCTACTGAAAATGGGTCCACGAAGAATGTATTCATAGGTTACCCGGTACTATTATTTTTGCACGTACATATTGTGGCCGTGAACAGTGATTATTTCAGAAATTTTCTCCCGGGGGCACTGCCACTTCAGGCAAAATAAAATGAGTAAAACAGAGTATGGTTAAACCTGAAAAATTAAACGCAACAAAACAGCGAACGTGTCGGCAGAAAGCCTTCGTCAGCGAACAAAACAACAGAAAAAACGTTATAAAAATAAGAAATAGCACTTAGCTGGTAAGTAGTATCTGTGGGCAGCAATAGAAG